CTCTCCTTCCACTGTGGGTTCTGGGGATCAGACTCTGGTTATCTGGCTTGTGTGGCAAATGCCTTTGCTTCCTGAGTCCTCTTGCCAGTCCAGATCTCTTATTTTGGGTTCCTCCCATTTTCTTAGAACCTAGCTCTAGGGCCCTCCACTGGCCCAGGCTGTGTCTTCTGCCCACTCTCCTCACTCTGAGTTCAGCCCCAGCTCTCCAAAGCACACGCTCCTCTTGCACTGTGTGCTGCTTGCCTTCCACTGTGTTTACTAAATGCTGCTGCATGCAATTTGTGCGTGGGCTATGAGGAATAGGTGACACAGAGGGCATCAATGACTAATAGCCCACTGGTGGATAATAAGTTCCCCTCTTTTGTGTCTTGAGAAAACAATTCTGTGGTGCATTTTACATGGCTTTTCAGTGTGTCCCAGCAAGAACAACTCTGCCGAGGGTGGTAATTAGCTTAATTATACACACTGCATGTGAAGTCTCCTGTTTTACTGCCTCATCCTATTGCCTGTGAACACATTTCCAGATAGACCATCTGTCAGCGAGCGCTCACTTCACAGAGGGAGCCCAGGCTAGGACACCTACAGTGTCACCTTAGAGACACACAGGGTTTCTGCAGCTGGATCACTCAGTGATATAATGGTGGTAAGGACTACAGGGCTAGATTGAGATGAGGTAGGACCAGGGGAGAGGTAAGGCAACAGCTTTATAAAAAGTAATAACAAATGAATAAAAGAGGGGCAACTGTAGTTTTTAAGAACTTTTAAAAACTGTAAAATTTAATTTTTAAATTTTGTATTAATGCTTATTAATAAAATTAATTTTATTATTAGTTTTTGAAAGCCCTGAAATAATATTTAGCAGATCCTTCCTGTTTTCAGAATTGTGGTGGCAACAGCCAACTTCATAGTCCTTGTCATCTCAGTTAGGCTAAGACCTGAAGCAGTACTGCATGACAGAAAGAGACAAAGAGAAGAGCCATTAACCAAGGAACAGACTGTGGACTTGGTGGTCTCCTCTAGGTACACTCAGCTTACGGGTGTTTCTTGTGGGATTGTGGTGAATGACAGTAGATCATGGTAAACTTATGTGGTATTTCCTACACCATCCATTGTGCACGATGCTTAGTCTTACTGCAACAGATCCTCTGGCATTTGGTCTATGACTATTAGTCTGGTCAGTGTTCTTGGAACCTCCATTTGTATGTAGGACCACAAGCAGTTAGTTTTTATGAAGGAAGGACAGCAGTCTATATTTCCCTTCATGTTTTGAGGTTAACTGTTTTGTTGCTTGCCACAAATTTTGCAATGACCACAAAACATTGTTAGTCTACTATGCCAATGGCATCAATATTAAAGAGGTTTAGTAAACAGACAAAGGTCTGTCAATTTTGCAAAAAATTTCCAAGAAATCTATGTTGGTTTCACCGATTTCCCTATTGCTTTTCAATCGCACTGCTTATTCCTCTGCCAACCGTTACTGTGCCCTTCCTGTTGTTAGCTTAGATTTAGATTGCTTTTCTTATGCTAGCCCCTTAAAGTGAAAAGTTAGGTGGTGGCCTTAAACTTGAGATTCTCCTGCCTGTGACTTTCTAAGTACTGGAATCCGAGGCTGTGCCACCACACCCAGCTGTGTTTTCTTTTTCATTTGTCCCCAAGCATTTTATCATTTCCCTAGTGATCTGTTCTTCAATGCATTGTTGTTTAAAACAGTGTACTACTTTCATATACTTATGGACTTTCTATTTTTCCCTGTTAATTGCTTTCTTGCTTTATTTTACTAAGACCAGAAAAAGCAGTCTGTGTGATTCTAATCTTTTAAACCTTATTAAGGCTTATTTTCCAGACCTGAAAACTGTTCTTTATGTACTTGACGAAAGTGTGGATTCTGCTATTGTTGGGTCAGGCCCAGTGGTTTAAGTGCTGTTTACGTCTTTGCTTTCTTCATTGATTTTCTGTTTGGGTACCTATGTCTAAGTTGGGAAAAAAAAATCTAAAAAGTCATAAATACAAAGTAAATAAGAATGCAGTCCTGTGCTTGTTAACACAAGCTGATGGTGAACTATGAAGCTATAATGTTTTTGTAAAGTAAATACACAGAAATAGAAAACTGACACTTTCAACTTAGTAATTATAACTCCAAGTATCTACACTACAGATTAAAAACAGGTCTTCCTGACACAGAGGAGTCAACTGAGGCAGAATCTCTAACACACACACACACACACACACACACACACACACACACACACACACAGCTACTCTGAGAGAATTAGTTAGTGGATCATGACTGCATATGTAATCCTTCTGTACAAAGAGATTCAAATATTGTCAACTGTATACATGAAAGGAAAAGGCATTGGTAACACACTAAACAGCTGGTTACTTTAAGTTTTTTTGTGGCTAAAAAGTGTTACCTGTGTATTTAAAAGCACAATAAAAATAAAAATAAAAAGTATAAAAAATACATAGCAGTCTAAGATAATCTATGCTTATACACTGTGGATACAGGAATGGTTTCTCAGAACATTATCAGTGTTTCTTTAACTTTTTGTTTTTGATGAAGAACCACAGTTTTCTTGTACCCATCTCCAGATTTTCTTTACTTTCATCAGTGGCACCAGCAGTTGGCTTTACTTTATGGACTTTCTCTCAGCGAAAAAATATTCTATACTTTACAAGACAGTAGGTAGAGATAGATCAGGTACACCAAAAGGCAGATGGCATAGGCCATTTACCAACTGACAATGGTTAAATCACTAGCTTTTGCATGTCAGCTACCTTCAACCTATTCTATGTGTGCCTAGGAATGTTACCAAATTACTTACCATGGTTCTAAGAGGTCACTTATCAAAAATGGTTGGAATGTTAAGTTGAAAGCTGTCAAATCATTATTTTCATTCAAAATAACCCTGATGTCTTAAAAATAACTTCTCAGTTGTGTATTATTTCATTATGCTTAATCCAAAAATGGCAGAGTATACCAATACTCAGAATGCAATCCCTGATACACCTTTAAATTTTTAGAAGAGCTGAGCTCCTGGGGGCTGGAGAGATGGCTCAGTGGTTAGGAACACTGTCTGCTCTTTCAAAGGACTCAGGTTCAATTCCCAGCACTCACATGGCAGTTCACAATTGTCTGTAACCCCAATTCCAAAGGATCTGACACCATCACACTAATGCACATAAAATTAAATAAATTGTTAAAAAAGAGCTGATCTCCCTTTACATGAGCATCACCAAAAGAACTAAACATTCACACAGTTAAATACTTTTTGAAGTCCTCTGACTTTTTAATTACCTCTTCTACTTAAAGAACCCTTCCATGAAAATATACTTCAGTATTGCTTGCCCTAGAGCCTTTCTTAGTAACAAAATCAACGGTCACTTTTGACTTCACGTCAAAAGAAAAAGGTGAGTTTATAGTTGGTAGCAATACAGAGATGAGAAATACCTTTAAAAAAACAAAACATGGGTCTTAAGAAACATACACACAGAGTATATAGATAATGGTATAATTTTACTTGAAGAAATATAATGAACAAAATAGGCAAGAATTTCTAACTTGAAAATTTACTCTCAGTATGAAATTCTAAATACAAGATATCCAAAATCAAAACTCACAACCTAATGATCACACTATCTACTTGAAACTCTGCTTTATTTTATTTATCTAACCTTTTTTACTTCGTACATTCATCTGTCAAGTGCTTTCTGATCACTCACTACACATGAGGCTATGTGGCTATGTTACTGAACATAAACGTAAATAAAGTAAAACAGATCTCAGAAATAGGACAGGCATCAAACAACACACACCAACGATCTAGCAAAACAACAAGCAGAGAGGTGTTGGCCGAATACCATTTAGAGTGTGTTTTTTCAAGATATAGTTTTGAGAATACCATATTGTAACCAAGTGGTTTTCAATTCTGGCAACTAAAAAAAAAAAAAAAAAAAATCATTTGAACAGACAAAAAGTAAGACAAACCCCACTCCACAAAAGCAGATGTTTGTAGGTCCTATGCCACCTGTCCTCACTCTCTATCCCACGCCTTAGCATTTACCAACTGACAACAACTGGTTGATTCCAAGGACACTAGGCTTTAGACCTAAGAACAGTTTTACATAAAAGAGTACTCAAATATTTATTATTATTGTGAGTACAGAGTTTCAGTTTGCCACAGGCCACATATTTGAAGCCAATGGACCACCTCTGACTGGTAGGCTTAGTTTTTGTTTTAAAGAAGAAGGAGAAAGAAAGAAAAAGCCTGACCCAGTGTTTAACATTTGGGAGATTTCACACAGAAGTGTCAACTCCGAAGAGTCTTGCATGCAGCAAGGGGCTGGGCACAGTTGAGCTTGGTTATTCTGTAGGAAAGGCCATGGTGTTCTTATGACTAGCCCTGCTGCTACCTCCTTTCTTCGCTAGTCACAGCTTACCAGTGTTTTGAGAATGGTTTTGCTCTTATTCTTAATAGGAAGTAGAACCACAAAAAGAGAGTGCCTTAGGGTTTTATTGCTGTGACCAGGGCAACTGTTAGAAAAGAAAGCATTTAACTAGGGGCTTGTCTACAGGCCCAGAGTGTTAGTCCATAACCATAATGGCAGCATGCAAACAGGAATGGTGCTGAGAAATTTTGCATCCCATGGGCTGGAGAGAGAGAGAGAGAGAGAGAGAGAGAAAAACCTAGGTACTGGGCTTGCCATAGGCTTTTAAAACCTCAAAGCCCACACACTTTCTCCAACAAGGCCACATCTCCTAATCCTTCCAAACCGTTCTTCAACTGGGGTCTAAGCTTGAAAATATATGAGCCTATGGGGGCCATTTTCACTCAAATTATCACATTTGTAGCTAATAGTGTTTAGCTCTGTACTTTAAAAAAAAGTGTAATGAACATTTTCCCTACCAAACCCAATACCCATCATTCCCACAGCATAGTAATAAAATGCTACCTGTATATCTTAAAAGTACTTTCTTTTACCATGGCAGCAGGGCTTACCTTTAGATCAAGGCTGCTAAGGCTTACAACATCGTCATCTTTCTCTCTTCGTTTCCTTTTCTATAAGAAAAAAAAAAAAAAGATTTGACTTACACATATATGTTACTGCATTAAACAAAGATTCCATTCAACTAGAAAAACCCCTCCAAAGAGCTGAGGCTGTTAAGAATGTGGGCTGCTCTTTCACTGGAGAGGAGTTCTGGTCCCAGCAGCTACATCAGCAGCTCACAATCACCTGTAACTGCATCTCCAGGGGATCCAATGCCCTCTTTTGACCTCTGTGGGCATCTGCATACATGCAGGTACACACACAAATAAAGTAAATATTAAAAAAAAAAAACAACACTTCAAAAGAAAAAATTATTTTGATTAGGGAGATTCACAAATTATCTCTGGAATATGCACTGCCTAAACAGTACCCTCTGACTAAGTGCTCTCTTGCTGAAGTGATTCTACACCACTGACTCATGTGATGTTTTCAGACCATAACTCTTACATAAATTATGAGCCATCTAAAGTGTTGTAGGAAAAAGAAAATATTTTATACAGAAATTCAACAGGTTTTTAAAGGAACTTACTGTTTATTAAGGGGTAAAGGAAGTCTTTTGTTAGTGGGGGAAATACTTTTCTCATAGCCCAAACTCAGATTTATCAAATAGAAGAAGAACCACCATGCTTGGAATGATCTGAGTAATCATTCAGCTCTGCTTGCTGCCAGTGGTAGCATAACTGTGTACATATCTATAATTTACAGTTATTAATTAATACTGAATAAACATCCTTAAGTAGCATTTTATCATTCCACATCTCAAAATAAGTTAAAATATTCCTTGGGACCCAGACTACCTCTTGCAAATGCCCAAAACTAATCATCTAAGGCTCTCTTTTAGTTTTTGGTCCCACAAAAAGAGAGGGCTTGGAGTCCAATTAGAATTGAGCGGAATATTTAAAAGAGAGATGAAAACATCTAGATAGATGAAGCAGGAATAACAGAGTCAGAAAGCAGAGAAAGCCAGAAAGCAGAGAAAGCAAGCCACCATGAAAATGAGAGGAACTCATTAGAAAAGTACTAAGTTAGAAAAGCTGTCTAAGGCCCCTTGCAAAAGGGAGAAACAAAACATAATTTAGGTGGAAAAAAAAAAATCTCAAATTCAAATCCTACACAAGTCACCCTCTGGGAGCTGGAGAGAGAGCTCAGCTGTTAAGAGTACTTGTTGTCAGGACCACCCTCCCTTGAGGTATATATTCAAGTATACAATAAAATAAATTAATTTTAAAAAAGAGCACTCATTGCTCTTCTAGGGACCCAGGTTGAGTCCCAGAACCCCACACAATGGTTTATATCCACCTATAACACTTCCAGTGGATCTGATAACCTCTTCTGACCTTCATGGGCACCAAGCAGGAATATTGTACATATATACACATGCAAGCAAAACTTACATAAAACAAATCTAATTAAAAAATTAAAAACATCCCCCCCATGCAAAAATCACTCCAGGGCGTGAAGGAAGAAGCAGAACAGCACATTACTGGGGAATGAAGAAGGCACAGCAGAAAGAAATGTTCAATCAGGTAGAACTGCAACACACCATTCCCAACGGAACTTAAAAAGGCACTGAGAAAATGACGTAAGGAATGAAGAAACACTGCAAATCAGGACTGAAAAAAATTTTTTTTCAAAGTGTCAGATTTTAAGAAATCTTATTGATTAGAAGGTCATACTAAGCCAGGTGCTGGCGGCACTCACCTTTGATTTTAGTCATGGGAGGCAGAGGTAGGCATAGCTCTGTGAGTTTGAGGCTAGCCTGGTCTATAGAACAAGTTCCAGGATAGCTAGTACTACAGAGAGAAACCCTGCCTCTGCGTGGAGTGGGGGAGGGGAAGGCCGCATTAAAAAAAAAGATACAAAAAAGTATGAACAATGTAATCATGGCTTTGGAAAACCAGCTAACACCAACTACTAAAGATTTCTACCTTCTGGGGAACCTGCACATTAACTAGCACACAATAGGCACAAAATCTAGAGCAATACATATACAGAGTTGCTGACACAGGCTAGGAGAGGCCACAGAGACAGACCTACAGAGGAAGGAGACAGAAGGAGGAGGCAACTATGAAGCATGGGGTGAGTGTGAGGGAAAGAGTGCACACATGAGCATTTGGGTTGGCTACAGGAGCAGAGAGAGTGAACAGGATTTGAGGTGGCATACTAGTGCTTCTTTCAAATATTTTCATGCTTCATTTCAATTTACTCAGAAGTTACTCTTGTTAGTAACAGCATATGGTCATACAATCAGTTTTTGGTACAAAGCATGTGGTTATACAATCAGCTGCCTTCTCTCACCCTAACACCATTTGCCAAGAGTCCTGTTCACTTATCATACCAGTGGGTAGAGTAATTCTCAAACATGTGTGGCTGCTGTGGTTTGAATATGAACTGTTCTCTGCAAACTGCTCATGAATTGAAGGCTTGGTCCGGATGCCAACAATGCTCAGAGGGGGACTTCTGGGGGAATGACAGCATTGTGAGGCTCCTAACCTCCATCAATGATTAATTCATTGACAGATTCAAAACCTCAAGACAACTGGGAGCACAGAACTGTGGAAGGAGCATCCTGTTTGGAGAAAGTTGGTCTCTGGGATCCTGCCCTGGAAACGCAGACCATGTCTTTCCTGTCTCTTCTCTGTTTCCTGCCCACCACAAGATGAGATTTGCTCCTCCATACCTTTCTGCTCAGGATGGCACAGAAACAATGCAGTGGCCAACCACTGGCTGAAACCTTGCAAACTCTCAAATGTCAAGTATTTATTACAGTGAAGAAAAAGTGACTTAACATACAGGATCATTTTCTGGATTCTCAGTTTTGTTTCTTGGTCTACTTACCAAATGTGTATCCATATCACACTGTGTCTTAATAACTAACAGCAGTTACATGCTTTTGTGGTCTGGATCTCTGTCCATGGGAATTGTAGAATGGGGGCTAGTAACTCTAATCAGATCTCTTAGAAAGCTACACAAAAGGTGGAGTAACTTGAAGAGAACTGATTTTTATTTTTACGAGTCTTCCTGCATGAAGAGAAAGTATCTCTTCATGTACAGATGGTGTTAAAATCATGAAACTTTCCATGAATTTTGGATAAATAATACATATATTGGGTAAAAAAGTACAGGAATGCCATATAGGAAATATGTATAAAATACAGAAAAATAAAATACAGATTAATCATGTCTTGTTGAATCCATCTGAACATCCAGATATACAAGTAACACTTGGCAAAACGGATAATGAGTCATTTTTTATTATTTTCCTTAAATAAGGAAAGCATAAAAATCATTATATATACATTATGATATACTGAGTGTTAAGTACAAAAAGAATCAATTTTCTTCATAATGTCATACAAAATTAAATGCCTCTGTAAAATCTTGTTCCAGGTTTGGAGAAATGGCTCAGTGGTTAAGAGTACTGGCTGCTCTTCCAGGACACAAGTTCGAGTCCCAGCATCCACATGGCAACTAACACCCACATGTAACTCCAGTTCCAGGTGATTCTGGCTTCCCTAGGTAATGTATGCACATGGTGCACAGACACACATACATGCAGGCAAAATGTCTATACACATAAAATAAAAAGAAATAAATCTTAAAAAAAATTCTTGCCCTAAATAATGGTTTGTGTCTTGAGGTAACTAACAGTAGATAATCATTTATTCATTATATATGTCTGTCTGTCTATCTATCTGTGTGTATATGAAATGTCTATAATCAAGCATTTATGTATTTTTAAAAGAGCATAAAAATTTGTCAAAGAATGTATATAAAATAATGCTTACTTTACAGCACTCAAAGGAATAGAAAGGTTTAGGGTTAAAGGTGAATTTATATGAGTGCTTTAAAAATGTTTTATTTACTTGAAATAAAACTTTTGTTCAGCTTGTTGGCAATAAAGGACTAAATCAGGTTGCTAGATACAGCTTTAGAAGTTCTACTTCATGAAATATTCAGAAGTACAACTGAGCTGTACAGCAGAATGAAAGACAACCAAGGAATGGATTCTAATGTTTTGAAATGAAAACCCAGGTATCTACTCACCAAAGTGAAGTCCCAGTGTGGGCCAGGTGTTAGAAATGTGAAGGAGCTGCCTCTCCGAAGGGAGCATCTATTGACAGAGAGTCAGATAAACAGAGTAAGGTATGTGGCAGAGGAAAAGCCATCATTCCATCATTTTAGCAGTCTCAAAACTAGTTAAAAGAGTAATCCAACGTCCGCAGCCTGAGAAAGCAACATCCCTCTGGACAGCACCCAAAACATAACAGGGCATATTTTGTCTCCAGAATCTTTACACTGAAAAGAGACTATATAAAATTAATGGAAAGATTACTATTACAGAACAATTTTCCAAACCAAACAGTTCCTCTTATACACAACTCAAAAACATAAATTCTATTAATGCACAACAACAGCTTTAATAATTATTTTATTAATAATAAAACAAGTGAATGTGTATCTACACTTGCTATAATTCAAAATTTATGCCTAATATTTTAAAACAAGTAAAAAAACATTAATACAATAAACTAAAATCCTGCTATTTACATTACTGTAAATTTTTAAAAATCAGAGGTAAAGTAAGAGAGTCCTGTTACAGAACTTGACTTTACCTTTCTACAATATAGGACTGGAGACACACAAAATATAAATGTCCACATTTACAAAATATGTAAAAACAAAATCACAAAACATGGTACAGGTGATACCCATTAGCTACACTGTTAGTCACTTAAAATGTATAGACTATGGAACAAAGATTTTTTTCTCATGTGGATAACGACAGCCAAATGAGGAAAGCCGAACAGTACTGAGCTTGCTGAAGCAAGGGAGTTCTTATCACTTGCCTTTTGGCAGAGGCTCAAATGGGTAAGAGGAGTGTGAGCTTTAAAATGGGACAAAAGGGGGAGGCTCAAGTATAGCCTGGTTGGAGCTGTCAAGGGGAAACTGTTGGTGGGCTTGCCAGAAGAGGACACAGTGTAGTAACCTTCTGTGACTTACATACCGGGCTTTTCTGGTTGATTCTAAGATGTAAGCGTCGGGTTGGAGACATGGCACGTCAGTTAAGAGCACTTGCTGCTCTTGTAGAGGACTTGGGTTCTCAGCACCCACACAAGGTGGCTCACAACCACCTACTAGTCAAACTCCAGGGATCTGATACCCTCCTTTGGCCTTCATGGGCACTAGGCACATACACAGTGCATATACATTCATGTAAGCAAAATACTCACAAAGTTTATAAAATTAAACCTTAAAAAAACAATTTAAGATGTAGGCAGGGCAAAATTTTAAAACAGACTGTTACTAATAAAATTCTAGTCAGTTTAGATCAACTGTTATACAAGTTATTATTTATTTAGCTTCTTGGCTAGGTCCATTTGTAAATCTGACTCTTACCTTCACCCTCATGCATGACCTTTCTTTACCATATGTTACCATAGCACTACAGATGGCAAAATTTACAAGCTTAAATCAAATATAAGGGTTCTTATACTTTTTTAAGTTAAATATAAGCAGAAGTGTGTATTTCAGCAAGGACAATAAAGGAAAAATGGCTATCAGAAGGGCTCTCCAAAGAAGAGTAAAACTGGCTGTTAAGATAACTTAGCCTGTAAATGGCACCTATCACCAAATCTGCCACCCTATGTTTGATCTCTAGGGCCTGCAAGGTGAGAAACACACACCTATATCCCACATATACAAAACAAGTAAATAAAAATAAAATAATTTTTTTCATAGAATGTATTTTGATCATATTCTGTTTCCTCTCCCAACTCCCTACCCACCCATCTTCATAATTTCTCTCTCTCAACAGGAAAAATAACAAAAAAAGGAAAATTGAAACACTTAAAAAAAAGACAGTAAGACAAAAAAATTACTAAAACAAAACTTGCACATATGCACAACACATGCATAAAAACAAACAAACAAACAAACAAACAAACAAACAAACAAACACATGGTGTAGGTGTGATCCACCTATCCCTGGTATGGTGGTCTCAGTAAGAATGGCCTCTATATTTGAATGCTTAGTTATCTCTGGAACTCTTTGAAATGATTAGGAGAACTAGGAAGTATGGCCTTGTTGGAGGAAGTGTGTCATTTGGGAATGGGTTTTGAGGTTTCAAAAGCCCATGCCAGCCCCAGTCAGATTGCCTTCTGCCTTCTGTCTGGATGTAGAACTCTGTCACTTCTCTAGCACCATGTCTGCCTGTGTGCTGCCATTTTCCCTATCTAGCTTCTGATTAAGCCAGCCTCCAATTAAATGCTTTCTTTTATAGAGTTGCCTTGATTCTGGTGTCTCTTCACAGCAATAGAACATTGACTAAGACACCTGGGGATGGAGCTTGCTCTGGATTGTTATCCATATACCAGTAACAATCCATTGGAAACAAACAAACAAATACACAAAAAACAACTTCCAGTTCCCAGCAGTTAACAGCTGCAAATAGCTTCTTGGTTCTGGGACTTTCTGTCATTTCCCATTCTCAGTGCTGGGATTGTGTCTGTTTGACCTTGTTGTCTTGTGCATGCTTTCAGTCTCTGCGAGTTTAGATGTGTACCAGCCCTGTTATGTCTGGAAGATACTGTTTCCTTGGAGTCATCTACCAATTCTAGGTCCTATAATCTTCCTGCCTCTTCTTCATAGAACCAAAAAGGAGAGGTGTTTGCTAGGACATCTCATTTAAGGCTGAGCATCTTACTCTCTGTATGTCAACCTGACATAGCTGGTTATCCGGAAAGAGGGAGCCTCAAGTGAGAAAATGCCTCCATCAGCTTGGCCTGTAGCAAAACTGTGTATGTGGGGAATTTTCTTGATTAATAATTGCTGTGGGAGGGTCCAGTTTACTGTGGGTGGTGACAACCTTCCGTGTTGGAGGATGTTTGTACACTGTGTGTTCAAATGCTGATCTCTGTACCCAGCAATCTGGTTGCAGTCCAGACATTGGCATTGTCATTATTATGAAGCATCTACAGTCTCAACGTAGTGTAAATTGTTCTCTATCAATTCTGCCTGGTTAATAGTTGAACAGCCTATAGTTGGGCAGGAGGGTTAAGGTAGGACTACCCATCCTGTGTTTCTCCACTGTCTCTATATCAGTTCTTGCCTCTTGGTCCCTGTATTGAATTCCTGCCCTGACATCCCTGGGTGATGGACAACAAGCTATAACATGAAAAACTCTTTCCTTTCCAAGTTGTTGTTTTTGTTTGTTTCTTTTTTGGTTATGTTATTTATCACAGCAAAAGAAAGCAAACCAAGAAAAGTATGATGAAGAATTATAAAACCAAAGCTATCAAGTAATTCCATAATGTCTATACTGACCTTAGAATTTGATGTCTGACAGTTGGAAACAAAAGGGGGCTTTTGAGAATCTTAAAAAAAAAAAAGCTAACTGGAAAATATATCCAATTTCATGTTAATATTCCTTTAAACACTGCCAGCAATCAGTTTACAGTAGTGGTACCTCCTCCCCTTTCAATAACGTTTCTATTAATTTTGAACATCATGGGGAAAAAAACTGTGCCCAGAAAACACGTGTGGCAGTGCCAACCTCTAAAATTTCTGCAGGGCATACTTTCTTGTTTTCCCCTTTTTAAAAAGAGTTAGACTCAAAAGTAATCACTATCTTAAATTCTTGTGGGAAATCTAATCTATTTAGTGTGGCAGTGCCAACCTCTAATATTTCTGGAAAGGCATACTCTTGTTTTCCCTTTTTAAAAAAAGAGTTAGACTCAAAAGTAATCACTATCTTAAATTTTTGTAGGAAATCTAATCTATTTAGTGTGGCAGGGTTTCATCTCAGAGGACCCTGAACCTCTGATCTTCCTCCCTCTACTCAAGGGTACCGAGATAACAAACATATGCCAGCATGCACAGCGCTATGAGGGGATGGGGGTCAAACCCAGGGCCTTATGCTAGACAAGCAGTCTACCTTTTGGTCTACACTCCAGCCCTGTTCATTATGCATCCTAAACCAACAATCCTCCCAGGTGCAGGGATTACAACAGGGAGTTAGTTCCTGTCTTCTCAAACCTGCATGAAGTGTTCCTTTATTTGCATCTATACAACACTATCATTAGTAGCTTTTACCAAACACTTTTTAACTTGCTTATTTGTTCCTCCTAAATTGCTTTCCATCTCTCTATTCTTTGTATCTGGCACTCATTTATTTTTCTGAATAAATCACACATTTTTTTTTTCAACCCACTGCAAAATGTTCTCACTTCAATGACTCAATGCAAGGTGATAAACTCTTATTTGAAAGGCATGAAAATAGCCTTGTGGTGTTAGCCTTCTGTAACCCCAGCACCTGAGACAGGAAGATTAGGAGTTCAAACTACCCTTGGCTACATATTGAGTTCCAGGCCAGTCTGGTAAAACTTGGCCTTAAAACGAATGAACAACCAACCAAGTCCCAAATGTTGAAAATAGTGTAAATGAATTTAATATACTTAACCAATGTAAGACTCTTAGAAATACAATTGAATAAAGATCCTCTAACGTAATATTAAATATCTGTATCCAAAGTCACTAGCAACTGTATGTGCATATATATACCACATATATGTGCATGTGTGTCTATACCATTTCCTCCAAGTTCCTAATTCACTAAATCAAAATTGAAATTCTTTCAAAAACACTTTTACATTTATGTATGTATGTGTACATGTGTGTATAGTATGTGTAGGTCAGAGAGCAACTTGGAGGTAGTCTTTCTCCTTCCATTATGTGGGTCCTAAACTAAGTTCATCTCTGTCACTTCATTTCCTACCATTCCTCACTTGCTTCACTTCACTTTAGTTACCTGGTTTGAAGTTCCCTGAACAAACCCAGTAGGATTCTTCTTCAAAAACTTTATACTTGCTGCTCCTCAAATTCCCACATCTCCATTCTCCCTCCCCCTTCAATTGCATTCTTACAAGAGACTTTCCCTGTAATCTCTTAAAAATAGTTAACTATCAGGGCTGGAGAGATGGCTAGCCCAGTACTCACATGGTACTACATAACTGCCTGTAACTCCAGTTTTAGGAGATCTGACACCTTCACATAATCAAACAGGCAGGCAAACACCAATACATATGAAATAAAAATAAATTAATAATTAAAAAAGAGCATTTGTTGCTTTAACTCTTACTAGGCCTTAGTTGACTTCACGATGTGACCAACCTCTCTCCAAAGCAAGAGCTCCATCTATTTTTGTTCTCTAGCACCCTCATTCTCTACAACAGTGTGTGATATTAGGGCAGGTGCCATTACTGAATGAGTGAGGAATGTCACACTGCTCCCATTCATCTTTTGGAAGCCTCCTTTTCTGGTTTCCCTAACTCGTCTTTCCTGATTTTCCTAATTTTCCGACTCAAAGATGACTTCTTTCTGGACTTTGACTTCTTAAACACAGGCTCTAACTTGAAGTGGTAAGTTTCAGAAGGCAAGAATCCAGGTAAATGGATTAAGTTACCTTAAACTTCAAACTAGTAAATATCAGAATCAAATGAAAGAATCTAGCTCTTTTCAGAGCTACTTAATATAGAGGGTTTACCCATGCCTTGTTAATGAAAGTAAGGTGTCTGTTTATGCCTCAAAATCGTTTGGCAGGCCTGGACTATAGGTTACATAAAAGATCAGTTTAAAAATCATGCCAAATGATCTGGATGTGGTGGTACACACTGTAATCCTAGAACTGGGGAGGCCGAGGAAGACAGACCAGTTTTTTGGCAGAAAGGTTTGGTGCCTGCTAGGGTGACAATTCCTCTCTTCACCACCGGTTCAATGAGTTTTGGTCTGCGTACCTGCATTCCTCCAGGTTCAGTGGAGAACACCTCTGGTTCAGAAGTACAGTGTGAGTTTGTGGCCAGCCTCTCTAAGTAGTGAGTTCTGGGATGACCAACTTACATAGTGAGCACTTGGCTCAGAACCCCCCCCCCCCACAAAATCAAAACAAAACAAAACAAAAACCAAATCATGTCAAGTAGACTATAAGGACATCTGAAAAGATGCAGCAGACACAGGACTGCGACTTTTACAAATTTAAAAACTGACAGACAAGATTTATGCAGACTTCTCTGCTCAAGCCCATGCTAAGCACTGAAATGCACATTGCCTTACATGAAGTAGACACGATCATAAACTCATTGCACAGACACAGAACACGAACAAAGTTACACACCTTGTAACTTCAACAGAGTCCAGCATTATAATGAGGAGCCACTATATTCAGTATTTAAGACAACTTTTCATATTTCCAGGGTCAGAAGAATTACAGAGGGGTCCAGACAAATGTCATTTCAATTTCCTATTTGATAAAAACACTGGGATCTCCACGGCCTCTCTTCCAGACACAAATTTCTGAACTCAACCTAGTGTTCACCTTTTCCAGACACATAGACATGAAGACACAACAGAGAATGCGAAAATGTGCTAATAACTGAAAAGCCAGTGTCTTTCCCTGACTTCTTCATGCCGGAAGCCTGGCCTATTCTGTTCTGCAAAACACATTTCATTCAAACAACCGCTTTTAATCTCAAAGGGCTGGTGACAACTCCCTCCCTCACCACAGGTTCCATGACAGTTTTGCTCTGGGCACCTGCATCCACAGCTCGTTTCTCGTAGAGAAGAGGTCTGGTGAGGAAATATGGTTCCTCAGGAAGAGGTTAAGGAAGACTGTCAACAAGTCCGCCCCTCTTAAGCAGGGCCGAGCATTTATTTGTGGTCTCAGCTCCAGGCGGGTTCTCGGGGTCCCCCGCCTGGCCAGCGCACTCTCTTCCCGCAGGTTCCTGCCTTCTGCTGGCTTTCCCCAATCTTCCCGGCTCCGTTCCCCAGTCCCCGGCGACCTCCTGATTCTGCCGTTCACCCCCCTCATGAGTCTCTGGACTCCAACCCTGGCTCGGGTAACCGGGACCCATCCCTGGCTCTCCCCACCCACCTCCTGCCACACTCACCTTCTGTCCGCCGCCTGCCCGGGTGTGTCGGCCGGAAGCCCCGCGGCTCGGTCCTCGCAGAGCACTGAGGCCCTGCGGCTTCTTCTCCGCGGCCGGGACTGCTTCTGAGCCGCCGGTTCTGGCTCCATGTCCGGGGACAGGGGGTGTGGCGGTGGCCCAGTGCCCGGGAGACCGATCGTGGCGGGCACAGTGCCCGCCAGCTTCTGCGAGGCAGTAAATTGCCTTCTAGCAGAGCGCCGCTACCGCCATCATCCGGGGATTTGAAAATGGCGGCTGCCCAGCGATCAGCCAATCAGAGAGCGGAAGCGGTTGCTAGGCTATGTGGAGTCCCGCCCCAGTCCAGAAGACAGCACAGCACCCCTAGGGGACTGAAGGGCAGAGGGAAAGTGGTGGGGTGAAAGTCAGGGGTTTAGGGGGTTAATCTAACGCCATTCCTGAATCTCCCAAAGGCAGTGTCTATTCACTGGAACTTTCGCTGCAGGGCAGGAAAAATGACCGGAAGCTGTTGAGAGACTGGTTGTAATGACCCCAAACCAAGGCTCGGTTGGGCAGAAAAAACCCACCAAGTTATTCCTGTGGGATATATGCGCAGTTGCCAAAGACGTTAACTGTGTTCTCAGGGATGTCCCTAGATAACCCGTATCCTCCTGTCTTCCAATAAGTGGGACAATGCCGCCTTCCCAAATGGAAAGGAATGCTTCCTCTGCTTGCAAGATTACAAAAGGTGAAGCATGAAACAAAGGACCTTCTTGTGTTATTATATGAAGATTGATAAATAAAAACATTCTTTAGTTTTAAATATTGCTAACGACCTTAAATGTAGTGTCTCTATTTTTGGTAGTAGGTTATCCTAAAAAATAACACTATGCGTAAGAAAGATATTAATGACTTTTGTACATAATCGAAAAGTTAAAGGCACTCCAAATGAGCGACTGGGAGATATCGAAATGCAACTCACTGAGTAGAAAGACTATCTTCAGCTTACAAAAATAGTCTTCCACAGGGAAGACTATCCCAATTAGTTATCCAATACCAAATGGTGAGCCCTGAAAACATATACATGTTTATTGAGCAGACTGAGCAGGTTGTATTTATGTATTTAGGAACATATATACATATATTCATGTAACAACAATTAATGAAAAAAGAGGTCATGAATTTGAAATATAGCAAAAAGGAGTATAAGGAAAAGTTAGGAAGGAGGAAAGAAAGAGGGGAGATGTAATTATAATCTCAAAAATGAAATAAGTAATTAAAATATAAGGTATTCCATGTGGTGGTGCCCCACACCTTTAATCCTGAGCACATGGGAGGCAGAGGCAGGCAAATATCTGTGAGCTTGTTGCCAGCCTGGTCTACAGAGTGAGATCCAAGATAGCCAGAGCTACACAGAGAAACCCTGTCTCAAAAACCAAACCAAAAATTTTAAAAAGGTATATAATAAAAGAAAACATTGCAATTTTAAGACATGGAACATGAACTATAGAACCGTGCTGGCTAGTTTTATGTTAACTTGACACACATGATAGTCATGTAAGAGCAGGAAATCTCACCTGAGAAAATGCCTCTAAAACACTGGGCTGTAGGCAAGCTGTAGAACATTTTATTAGTGATTGGTGTGGGAGGTCATTGCTCATTGTGGGTGTTCCTGATGTTCCTGGTTCTATAACAAAGCAGGCTGAGCAAGACTTGAGGAACAAGCTAGTAAGCAGCACTCCTCCCTGGCCTCTGCTCAGCTCCTGCCTCCAGGTTTTTGTCCTGACTTCTTTTGATGATGAACTGTGGTATGGAAGTGTAAGCTGAATAAACTCTTCCCTCCTCAAGTTTCTTTGGTCATGGTGTTTCATCACAATAGTATCCCTAACTAAAACAAAAACTGTAATTAATTATAAATCACTATAATTATACATAAATAAAATAAAGTTATACAGAAATAAAATACATTAAGTTTTCTCTAGGTGGAAAGATTTTTGGCAGTTAAAATACTTTTTATTTTTATTTTCTTGATAGAAAATTTTCTTAAACACGGTGATATATTGAGCTTGTATCTCATTTATAAAGAAACATTTTAGCTTTTACAATGATCTAAAATTAAGGAGTAAAATTCCCTCATTAATTGCCTCCTATTCCATTCCATCCTATTTTTCTCAAAATAGTAAAAAGAAAGTACTATTTCTAATAAGCACAGAAATGCCATCCATGTATTCTACCTAGAGTTTTATAGAATGCAGACATTTCAGAGGAAACACACACTTTCACCTACAGAAGCAAGTTAGTTTGTCTCTAGCTCCACAGCTTCGGAAACTGGTTTTGATCTTGTCACCACAGGTGGTCAGTCCTTTGAGAACTTGTAACATTTGCTGTCAAAGGGAAAGATACTCCAACATGCCCATGTGGGGACTCTGTGAGTTTTGCAGGAAAACTCTTTCAATGCTGATTCACTTGGGAATTATTTAATTACTTATTAATTAATTGAATATCTTCAAGGCCTCCAGCTAGGTTTTAGCACAAGGAAGGGAACAGAAGACACATTTTAATAGGAGAACTGCCATGGTGTACTGAAGCAAATGGAAGAAAACTAGACTATTGTATTAGTTGCTGTTCTGTTGTGATAAAGCACCATGACCAGAGCAACTTACAGAAGGAAGAGTTCATTTGTGTTTACATCTCTAGAGAGATAAGAGTTCATCATGGTTCATCATGGCAGTAAGCTGCAGGAATGGTGTCCAGAGCAGAACACTGACAGGACATGTCTTTGACTAAAAATATGAGGAGGAGAAAGTGAAGAGGAAGTGGAGTGAGGCTATGAATTCCCAAAGCCAGTCCCCAGTGGCATATCCCTGAACCTGAGGTTCCATTGCATAAACATCCCCAGACAGCACCACCAACTGGGGAGCAGGTGTTTGAAGACTTGAGACTGTGAGACATTTCTCACTCAAGCCATCATAACTACACACTGAGAGCTGGTCATATGAACCTTGGAAAAGGTTAGTGAAATCCTACAAATGTACAATAAATTGGCCTTCTGTTGTCTGTCTTGCCCTCCTCCCTCTGCTGCACTCCAGATTCAGTCTCTTTTTCTGCCTAGAACAGGATTAAATACATGACCTATGTCTTCAACTCTGTGCAAATTGACCCCACCTTTAACATAGTTTTCAGGTCAGGGTTGATAAAATTGTTCATATTTAAGTCTTTTACTTGTTTATATAAAATTGGATGCTAGGTCTCTCTCTGAGTAGATAATCTCACTAATTTAATTAGAGCTAAGGGTTAGCTACATTTCTTCAAGTGTAGATTGATTTTTCCCCCTAAAAATCTTCAATCATATGCACTGACATTAATTACTGTAAATGCTGAGGAGAAAAATGTGTGAGCCGAAAAGGGACAATTAATGAGAAGTATAATTTTTGGATTCTATTTATGTATGTATGTGTGTGTGTGTGTGTGTGTGTGTGTGTGTGTGTGTGTGTGTGTGT